GAGCCCGACGACTTGGCGCTGCCGCTGCTGTTGCGGTTGGGCCGGGGGCTGGTGATGCCGCTCGGGGCGTGGGCGATGCCGCTGTTGCTCCTGCTCTCGGCCGGCGGCGGTGCGTTCCCGCCGCCGCCACCGCCGCTGTTGGCGACGAAGCTCTGCTGCATGCTCATCATCTCCTCGGCCAGCTGCACCAGCTCGCCCTTCTCGACCCGCTCTTGCTCGAGCAGCTTGCGCATCTCCTGGTTGTCCTCCTGCACCGTCCGGATCACCGCCTCGAGCTTCTCCACCTCGGCGTTGAGCTCCGAGATCTGCGCCGAGTCCTTGGCCGCCTTGACCTTGCGCTCCTCCTCGAGCGCCACGGCGGCCGGGTCTATGCGCGTCATGGTGGCGTGCCGCCCGGCCCGCATGTCCTCGTTCTCGCGGCTCAGGTCCTCGACCTTGTCCTCCAGCTCCTGCACCTTCTTCTCCCACCGGCGCTCGTACGACCGCTTGAGCGCCGTGATCTTGTCCGTGTGCTTGCTCTTGTACAGCGCGTGCAGCTCGCGCGCCACCTTCTCGACCGCCATCTCCACGTCGCGCGGGGTGAGGGCCTTACCCCCGGGGCCCGCCTGCTCGCCGTTCTGGCTGCCGGGCGACGACGACCGCTTCTCGCCGCTGCTGCCCTGCATGGCCGCCTCGGCCGCCTTGCCCGCCCTCATGGCCGCGAGCTTGCTCTCGGCCTCCTGCGCCATCGTCTCGGCCATGTCGCGCCGCATGTTGGACTCCTCGAGCTTGGCGTCCAGCTCGTCGCGCTCGCGCTGGCCCACCACGATCTCCTCCTTGACCTTGCGCAGCACCGACTCCATCTCGCGTGCCCTGCGCTCCCAGTCGTCGCGCTCCGACTTCGCCTGCTCGCGCGCCGTCGTCTCCTCGCGCAGCTGCTCCATGCACGTGCCCACGCGCTTCTCGGCGTCGCCCACGGCCGTCTTGAGCGACTGCGCCTCGGCCTCCTTGCCGCTCAGGGATGCCTTCAGGCTGCTGATCTCAGACAGAAAGTTGGATTTGAGACTCTCGAGCTCGCGCGGCGTGATGGTGGGGATGCTGCGCGGCGTCGGCATGGGCGGAATGTCAAAGTCCAGCAGGTTCATCATGTTGGTGCGCTGTGGCGTGGCTGCGACTCCTCCTCCTCCTGCGAGGTTCGGCGTTGTCCTCGACGGCGAGATGTGACCTCCCCAAGACTGCTGCTGCTGGGCCTGAGAGAAGCGCAGCTGTTCCGTAAACTCGAGCAAGAGGTTCGTCGTGTTGTTCCCCGAATCCTGACCAGGGCCCGAGGCCGACGACCGGGGTGTCCGCTGCGGCGGCGGCATCGACGCCCGGTTCGCTCGAGGGGTCGGCACGGCCGAGAAGTTGCTGAATGTGCTCATGACCGTGTCGTCGGCTGAGAGGGACTCCCTGCCGCTCGCGCGGCGCCCGGACCCGTTGACGCCAAGAGTGGACGGGCCGTCCCCGAGACCGAGGCCGAGGCCGAGCGTCACGTCCTCGTCGCCCTCGTCGTCCGACGCGGCCAGCCCGCTGACCTCGTCGTCGTCGAGTATCGCCATGGCCTTTTGCAGGCCTTCGTTGTTCCGCACGGGGCTGTCGTCCAGGCTCAGCTCCCGCAGGTGCTGCGGCTTCGGGTTCACCGGCGGCCGCGCCTTGGGCGACGTCATGCCCCCGGCGGCGGCGGCGGCGGCGGCGTTGGGAGGGTTGACCTTGACGGGGAACCGCCTCGTGCTGTCCGGCCACGACGACTTACGCGGGCTGCGGACCAGGTTCGGCGGTGGCATCTTGGCGGCGTCTAGGAGCGGTACGGCGGCGGTGGCGGCGGACGCGGTGCCCGAGGAGGCACTCGCCTCTTCGGCGACGGGGGCTGGCCTGTCCTGGAGGATCCTGAGCGGCGAGAGCTCGCCGCCCGAGATGATGCGGGAGATGGGCCGGGACGATCGCCCGCTTCCCGTCCGGCCCCTGGACGGCGAGACGTTCTCCTGCTGCTCGTGGCTCTTGCTCGCGGGATCGTGGCTCTTGCTCGCGGGATCGACGTACGGCGAGCCGGGCCCGTCGTTTGTCTCTGGCTCAGGTGTGCTCTCCATGACCTGATGTATCGACGCCGTCACTTCGTGCATCTCGGGCGACGGACGCGTGGCGGCCGGAGGAGGCGAGGCGTTGAGGGCGGCGACGTGGGAGGGGGCGAGTGGAAACGACGTGCTGAGCGTCACGTCTGCCATCATGGAAGCCATTGTGGCGTGGATTGGGTATCGAGAATAAGGAGAGTCGTCAGTGGATTATGCTGTCTGCAAAGGCAAAAAGGACCCGAAAAAAAAAAAAACAAGCAACCGCCATGCATGCCAACCAGTATGTCTCAGCGGTGGCTGGTGGTGGTGGTGGTGTATGCTCACCCAAGGATAGAAGGGTCCCTTCACCAAATAACAAACCTGAGACCTCCACGGGGCGGGCTGCAAGGGGGCCGGCAAATTGGCTGGTGGCGTGTGGTTGGTGTAGCCTCGGGCAGGGGAGTTGGCGTAGCAACCCAAATCACGTGACCTTCTCAGCCCACCGTAAGGTATCCTTGGCTGGGCTGGGCTCGCACACGGCTGGGGATAAGGAAAAACGGGCGCGATAACGCAATAGAAAAGGAGGCGGGAGGCGGGCGCCGGGCTGGTGAAACACACCCAGGCTGGCCACGCACGGCTAGCAACCCCGGCCTCGCGCGCCTCTGCAGGGCTGTGATTGCAGGACGCGTGCTGAGCCACCCTGAAGGCTGGTTCGGCTCAAGCACCTGCAGTAGAGCCGAGTTTTACACTCGAGGAGGAATAGTCATCACGCCCGTCACAGCCATCAGTCTTGACACGGGGCCTTGACAGCCATGACAAGCGACACACGCGCGCACAGAGACAAGTCAGCTAGGTAAAGCTCTAAATTTCTTTGTATCTGGAGTAGTCAACAATATTGTCGATTTTTGTACCCATCGTAGCGTCGTTACCTAGAGACACATACCCCAAGGAGACACGACCGGAAAAAACAAGCCAATTCCCCGAAACCCCATCTGTGGCTTTTAGCAGTAAAGAGAGAGAAAAAAGGAGATTCATCATCGAGGTCGTTAGGTGACAAAAGAGAAGATCAGTGCCCGCAAGCACGCCATGTGATGTGACATCGTACTGGGCTCGGGCTGCTGGCGATGTCGAAACCCACCGCCACCATCCCCCTACCACCCCCCAAAGCCAAACGCAACAAACGATAAAAATGTTGAGCATAACTGGGTCGTGTGCCACCTCTGGTCATAACAGGCGGTCATGACTTCCATCTTTTATCCCCGCCTTCGCCTTCTGCTGCACACCATGTATACCAACGTCTCTCAGTCGGCACACCCAGGGCTAGAGCAGGGCGAGACGGAATGAAACGCAAAGAAAAGCTGTTCGAAAAAAAACCAAGAAAAAAAGACGGACAGGGAAAAAAAAAGACAAGAAAATGCCAGAAGGAAATAATCTTGATCCCATAGAAACAAAAAGAATTAACGTGTAATCCGGGCTTGTTTAGAAATTAAAATCCACCAGATGCAAATCTTTTCACTCGTTCACATCATGTACATGCCCCAGACCCGACGGCCGGACATCAGGGTCCAAGGCTATGTCATAACACTCGTAAGAAAAAACAACGGCGTTCGCCCGGTGGCGATGATGAGTGTTGGCTGTCGTACAAACAATGGGGTGGGGTGCAGGAGCGCGCGACTGGTCTTGTGTGCGGGTGAACGTCTCGTCGTCAATTGTGGTAAGGGTTGGTTGCATGGCGACTCGTTGCGGGGGGAAAATGTGTGGTAGAAATTGTCATCATTACTCGATTGTTGTCGTTATCGTTTGCTCACGCTGACCGCTTCCGGGGTGCCGCGGGCACCATCCATGACCGGGTGTACTAAAGGATAAACAGGAAGGTGGCGGCGGGTGCGCCGATTCGGCTTCGGGCGCCCGGCCCCCCTGGCCAGGGCAAAAAAAAAAAAGGAAAGAAAAAAAAGGCGCAAAACGATAGCTTGGGGCCACTACCTCCGTCGCTGCGTGGCAGCGATGGCGGTGGCGGGCCTGTTCATGGTCTCATAGACGGGCGACGGCATGGATCCCTCCATGAGGGTTTTCCGGCGCTTGAGCTCCATTCCACCCATCCCCTGGCCGCCGCTCGTCGGGCGCTCGTCGTCGTCGTCCCGTCCCCGCTTCATACCGCCCGAGCTTCCGTTGAGCACCGGCGCTCCGTACCCGTTCTGCATGTCTCCCGGGGGAGCGTAAACGTCTCCCGCGGGGGCCCCGGCGGAGGCGGCGCTCCTATCGTTGCTCATGACGTTGTACAGGTTGCTCGACGACTGCTGCTGGGTGCGCGGAGGCGTTGTGTAGCCCTGGGCCCCGTAGTACGGCGGGGGCGCAGCGGCGCTGCGGGGGGTGGAGCGGCCAGATGTCGCGTGGTGCGCGGCAGAGCCCGCGAGCTCCGGAGACATGTGCGAGTGCTCGCTGGGCAGGGACGAGACCGGGGGTGCGCTGTAGTTGTAAGACTGGCCGCGGCTCGTGTCGTAGGCGCCGCTGTCGTGGGTGTACTCGGCATCATGCTCGTGATCCGCCTCCTCCTCTGCGGAGCCGTGGGCCACCGACTCGCCACCCTGGCTAGGATGCATCAGCCCATTGGTAGGCTTCTGCTGCTCCTGTGAGTGCTCTGCGGCCGGGGCAGCGGCAGGCCGGTTCGACGGAGGGCCCATCTCCGACTTGACGTATGCGGATTGCTGCCCGTAGATGGAACGGTCTTGCGGGCTGCTGTTGGACTGCTGGTACGGGGACTGCTGCGTCGAGGGCGCGCTGTACATGCCCCTCGAGCTGTCGTACGACTGCGATGCCGGGGGGTAGGGCTGCATGCTCTGCAGAGTCGCGCTGGGAGGGGTCGTTGCCGGGGTGTGAGGCATGGAACGGGAGTTGCTCAGGTTCGTGTCAATCGACATGGGGTTCTGCTGCTGGCCGTTGATGCCCTGCTGGGGCCATTGGAAGCCCTCGGAGTTGCCCATGCCGCCCATGACGCTGGAGGCGCTGGCTGGAGGCGTGGGGAAGGTGTGGGCGCGGTCGAGAGGTGGCCGGCCCATGTTGGACGGCAGAGACGGCTGCGGCCCTGCATGGTTGCTCATGCTGTGGTGGTGTAGTGAGGGGAGTCCTGGAGGCGCGGGGCCGGGGCCGTTGCGCAGCTGGCTCTGCTCGGCCTTCCGCCTCTCGGCCGCGGCCATAACCTGGTTTGTCCTGCTCTGGTTCGTGGGGTGGTACAGAAGAGCGCTGATGTTATGAACGAATAGAGGATACAGCAACTCGGTTATCTTCTCCTTGTTGGCAAAATCCAATGCGCGCTCAAATGGGATCCTGGAACGGCGAGAACGTTAGCAAGAAGCAGGCATGCAGGCGGAGCACACAGGAGACAGAACTTACCAAACGCCCTTTAAATGCATCGGCCCAATCTTTACGACGTGCCGGACCTTTTCGCTCTTGAGAATACCGTCTCTCCTGCCGCGCGTCATGCCAGCGACGTTGAGCAGCTTTGTTCCGTTGATCATGTGATTATCTGAGCACAGGACGTTAGCATGGTGAAATAAAGGTCGAAAAGCAGAAAAAGAAATCCTTCTCACCTTCCCTGCGAGCAACACAGATGCCCCTGGCCTCGACCTGGAAGCAGAGGCTGCCCTCGTCCTCCCACAGAGTCGCAGTCACGCGCGGCTTCATGCCTGGCGGCGCGACCTGGCCGGTCGTGTCAAAGCCCTGGTACTGGTTTTGCATCGACCCCGGACCCGAGGGCTGCGCATGGGCACCGGGGAGGGGAAGAACGCCGCCGCCGGCACCCATCTGTCCGGGCACGCCCGGGGGGCCTGGCGGGGATGTCAGGCCACCCGAGTAGTATTGCGGATATTGTTGGGGCGGTGCCGGGTATTGGCCGGGGCCCGACTGTAGGATGGATGGCTGGGGGTTGTACGAGGTGACGGTCTGTGTTGATGGTGCCGGACCGGCGGACATATGGGGTTGGGAGTAATACATGTCTGCGGGCGCCGGGTTCATGGCCGGATACGGCTCGTATCCTGTTACGGGCTGGGCCGAATGGCCGGAAATGGCAGCGCTCACGGGGAGGGACGAAGGCGGCGGCGTCTTGGGACCGTTGGACGATGCCACCGACGTGTAGGACGACTGCGAGTCCGCGTTGGAGCTCGCCGAGGACCCTATGGAGCTGACCCGGGGCGAGGCGGTCCCTGACAAGTATGCCTGCTGGGGCGGGGGCAGAGGAAACGAAGGCAGCCTCTGGTCGCTCCCATACAACGACGGCCTCTGGGCGTGCGCGTTGTAGTACGGTACGTCGGAATGGCCCCGGGCTGGCACGGAGATCGACGGCAAATCCAGCTTTTCGGTGATGCCTGGGGACTATCTAGACCAATGTGTTGACCAGCGACGAGTCGCTGCGGCGCGCAAACACGTAGGCGTGCGCTTGGGATGTCGTCAGGGCGGGCGAGCCGAGGCGTGTACGAGGGAATTGGTTGTTCGTGCCGTTCCGGGTGCTGACAAGGTCTTCGGCCCGGTGCGATACTAGGCTGAGGATGCTGCGGATGGATGCTTGGAAAGCTGTGCTTGGTGCGAATGGGACAAAACTTTGGGGTTTTGAAGGCGAACGGTCGTGCAGTCTCGTCAAAAAGTCGTGGTCGGCATCAACTAACAAAAAAAAAGAGAAATCAAATGCTCATATCAAATGCAGGTCGGCGTCGAGCTGCTTCTGGTCCGCAGTGGGCAAACGGCAAGGGCTGCGAGCAGCTGGCGACAATGGGATGAGAGACGGGAAGACTGGTTGTTCATCCAACAACACAGGTCTTTCCCAGAAAAATGGCTGGCTGGCTGGCTGGCTGCGGGTGCTGGTGCAAGATTGCGTGCGGTTGCAGCTGTGGAGGGGGATGTGCGTCGACCGGGTGGTCGGCGACAAGAGCTATTGATATCGACGGCCCCGCACGTTTGGGTTGCGCGCGCTTCCCTTGTGGTGCTCTTTTTTCCTTTTTTTTTCTCCGCTGGGGCGCTCGAGCACACAAGGGCACGACTCGGCAGGCAAGTAGGCCAAGCTAGCGATGCCTCCAGTAGCGAGTGTTTGTCGACGACTGTTCATGTGAATAGGCAAGTAGCAAGTTAGTTCTGGACGGGCAACGGATCTCGCAGTCATTCCACATGCAGGCTGCAGCGTTGGACTGTATTATGCTTCAGGCGGGGGGAAGCCAAACAGCAGGAGAGAAAAGAGACAGCAGGCCTGGTGCACACAAGGGCAAAAAAAACCATGTCCACATACCTGCAGACGCCTCGGTAAGCCTCCCCTTGACCTCGTGTATGGAGTGAGGAAGTATTGGTGCCGGGAGAGAAGAGGAGAGGCGAAGGTCGAAGAGGAAGATGCAGGCAGGAAAGGCTTACCTTTTTGGTTGGTGAGAAGGAGGAGGCAGGTAGATCAGAGAAAATAGAGGTCCCCCCTCTGGGTCTGCCGTGCAGTACCGCAAAGGTCTTAGATTAGAAAAATGAGAGGTAAGGACGACAGGGTTCCAGCAGGGCATGGCGGGGAGGTACCCTGGTCCGCCCGCACCCCCCTGCCCACAGGTAGGCTTTTGGTAGCCAGCTCCACCCGGACCACGTAGCCTGGGAGGAGGGGATCCTGGTCGGGTACTGCACGGATACAACGGGCACAGGTGCACTGTACATGCGCACCGTGCGAGTGTGGCCGTGCTGGCGGCCATTGGCCGATGGAAACGCTCGACTGGGAAGGAAAAAAGAAGGGGAAAAAAAGGAAAAGGAGCCAGTCAGAAAAAGAAAAAATAAAGAAAAAAAAAAAGCGCCCATGACCGACCACCGGCCGGAACATGGATTCTGGGCCAGGCCTGGAGACGACCCAGCGAAAGAGGAGCGAGAGCGATGTCTGCCGCAAACCTCGAGATCTCGCTGGGGTGTGTGTTTTTTTCTCTCGCTCGCCTGTCAGTCTGCCCACGAGTTCCCATCCTTCCATACGCACGCCTCCGCCTTGGACCATGCCGGGCTTCTCCCTTCTGCCGGGCTTCTGTCCTACAGGCGGTAAGGGCGCGCCCCAAGCAAGCAGCCTGGGTGGCCCAGCATTCTTCCCGCCATTTAGTCACATCAGGATTTACAGCAAGCTTGCAGGCCCGTTCCCCTTTGTGGGACACGGAATTCGTGGTGCTTTCGGGGGGGGGATGTGAATGTGAGAGAGAGGCACGCAAAAAGTCTGGCGGGCGGCGAACAACGGGCGGGGGTGGTTGGGGTTACTGCGCGCGTCCAGGAAAGCATGGCGGGTGAGCAGTGGCCCTGCTGGACTTTGCTGGCCTGTGGTGTTGGTGAGGACGAGGGAGTGCGAGGGAGCGGGTGTGTGGTGCTACTCCGCTGCGCCGACCCTCCCCATGCCCTGAGCAGCGGAGCCCGTACAGTGCACTGGGAAGGACGACGAAAAGGCGAGAAAAAAGAAAAAGGAAAAAAAAAAAGCACCCGAGCCGCCTGCTCGTTGGGCGTGTCGACAGGGATCGCTTCAGAGGTGATTTGGAGAGGCGGATGACCACGGTGGTACCAGAGGGAGACGTTTAGCTGGACAAGGGGGTGGGCAGGGGAGGGGTGTCTCCCCAAGTGGGAAGGATTGGCCCAAGGAGAAAAACGAAAGAATTGGACCAGGGGGGGGGTGTTGGGACCAGAGAAAAAAAATCAGGCGTCGGCTCAGGGCCGTGTCAGCACCCACGATTCCTCTTGCGGTAAGACCGCCATCTTTTTTTTCTGGCGCCTTTTTCCTCCGTTCTGTTTTGTCTTGCTTTCCTTCCCCTGGCGCGGACCACAAACTCTCCCAGTCCAGCAAGTGTCCGCTGAACGTCGCAAAAGGGATTTCGCGTTTGACTTTTTTTTTTTTTTTTTTCCGTTCCTTTTGGGGGGCGTGTGGATGGATTTGCGCGGTGGCGGCGGCACTCGCAGAAGCGCCCGCAAGCGACCAAGTCAGTCAACCTTTACTGTTTGCCTTCCCCTTGGTCGCCCAAAGCCTGGGATTCGCCAGCCGGTTTACGTCGTCTGCGTGCCCTAACGCCCGCGCCGAGGGTGTGGGTTTGTTGAACATTACGCGGTACTTGCCTGTATCCTCTAGATGGATAGGCTAGTTGGTTCACTCAACCCTCAATTGCACCGGTTTGCTAGTCTCCGCACTAAAAAAAAA